TTGGCACTGTCTCTAGGCACCGTTTTAAGGTCACAGTAGATTCAATAGCAACGGCATCTGGGAGTCCACTAGGGAAGTTCCTTCTTCATCAAAAAGGCCAGGTGGTGCTCGCTTCGGCAGCACATACACTAAAATTGGAATGATACAGAGAAGATTAGCATGGCCCCTGCACAAGGATGACACGCAAATTCGTGAAGCGTTCCATATTTTTATACACCATGGACTATTACTCAGCATTCAAAAAAGATAAACACATGCAATTTGCAGCCACATGGATGGAGCTGGAAGGGATCATGCTCAGCGAAATAAGCCAGAAAGAAAAAGAAAAATACCGGATGGTCTCCCTCATAGCAGGAATCTAGAAAACTTAAATAAGGGACCAGGAAAATGAATAACTATAAGAAAGTGAAAATCAAAATCAACAAACAACTATGAACCAGAGACACTCTATGGGGGGTGAGGGGCGGGGAGGGGAGGGATTGGGGTCAAACTAAGGGGGTTGCAATTGTATGGGGAATATAAAAATAAAATTTATTTAAAAAAAAAAAAGGGCCAGGTGGGGGTCACCCCAGACAGAACCACTCCAAAGTGGGAGTGGGTGTCCCACCATCACAGCAGGAATCTCCCTCTTGCCCAGAATGATCTGAGAGGGCTTCCAGGGCCCCCTAAGAGAAGGGGTTCTTTGTAAGATTTTTAGGAATGTTATAACTTTCCTGTTTCCTCTTCATGATTAGCAGTAAATGCTGTTAAATAAAAAATGTCCTTGATTGGCAGGCAACCAGGGAGGAGGGCAGACTGGGGAGACAAAATGCTGCTGTACAGACAAGCTTGTAGGCGACTGAAACTTCAAATGACAGGAAGGGGGCATGAGTTTAGATTCAGGGGACAGCTAAAAGAAAGAGCGAGCCTGGGACCAAGAACTGGCCTCCTGCTGAATCTCCAAAGGCCTTGGTTACCCCTGTTGCTTCTCTCCAAGCCAAAGAAGTTACTAGTTGTGTGGTATGTGGGAACCGGCTCCCTCCGGCTTACCAGAGTCACAAGTACCCAAGTTTATGTTCATGATCAGAGGCTTCATAGTGGTAGCTTCAAATCAGCCACCATGGGAATATTTACACCACAAAATCTCACAAATACTATCAGCTAGAGCCTCACCCCCACCATTTACCAGGACACACCACTGCTGGTCCTCCCCATCCCCCCACCTTCCCCCCACCCACCCGCCATCCCCTCTACCCCTCAGGTCAGGCCCAGGAGGCACTTCTGTGAACAGGTCTCATTGACACCAATATGCGCTGTTAATTTAGTCCTTGACTCACAAAGCTGTAAAAAGGAATTCACAGACATTTTAGATAAGTAAGCAGAGAGAAACAAACTTTGTTTAAAAAAGTAAAGAAATGTTTGTTTAAAGGAAGAAAGTAAGGACTCCCAGCTATGCTGTACTTGGGGGGCGGGGGAGTGGCAAGGAAGCCCTTGTGGGCCTGTGTCTAGGGGTATTTAAATCATTTTTTCCTCTATTTTAAAATCTCATCATCCTACTCTGTGATTGGCTCTTTCTCCTAGTGGCTCTACTCCTCCGGGCAGACATGCCCATTTTCCCAGGTCTTATCTTAGAGTTGCCTCCCGTGTCCAAGGTCTTATTCTCTCAAGTTTTACTGTCTTTGCTTAGTCTTCCTGGACTTTCTGACCTCATCTCTGGAGTATGTTTTGGCTAGTACCTCTTAGAATTTACTGTCCTTATCTCAGAAGCCTCTTTAACTCTCCCGAAGTCCCTGCCTGCAACTTGCCCTGAGAGAAAGAAGTCCCTATCTTAGAGAAAGAAGTCCCTAACTCAGCATTTGCCTGTGGGCCCCAAACTGGAAATGAAGTAGGTGGGCAGCAAGCTAAACCAGAGTCCCACCAGAGTTTTGTATTATTCTGAGCCTGCGCTGACTTCCCTCTTTTTCCTCAATGCTTTCCAAGGGAGAAGGTTTTTTCCCTCTGAGCTGAGCTCTCGCAGGAGAAGCGTTGGGCCAAAGCTCATGTCCAAACAAAGCCGAAGGAGGTGCTAGCCCACTGCTAGTGGCCTTCCTGAGGAGCTGCCTTCCCAGCCCACATCTAGGGAAACTTGGGTGGGACAGAAAAACTTCACAGGATGTATGGAATGGGGGGGGTGGGGGGAAGGCAGTAGAAGAGGAGAAGAGCTTTCTCCACAACACCTTTCTCTTCCTTGATGGCTTTAGACAAGCTCCTCCAGTCTACAAATTCAGGACCACGCCGTGCTCTCAACTTCACCACAGCTGTTCACTCAGGCAGCTTTCCCCCAATCGCCTTCAAGCTGTCATATCCTTGGTTCTATTACATCTGCTCTTGAATATCACAGACGTCACCAGATCTTCATTTCTTTCCTTTTCTCTCCCCTGGCCTCTTTCCCCTGCCCGCTGTGAGATGAAAGTTGACCCTGCTAGACCTTGGAAATCATCACTATAAGGAAAATCAAAGTTGCCCAAGAAAACAAAACATGGTATGTGGCAAGGCAGAGAACAAAATTCACGTAAGTATAATGACGTAAATATTTGAAAGTTGATTCAACCAAAAATTACGGAACAACTAAAGTGGGAGGGTGTCTACAAGAAAAATGCCACGTTTCTCCTTTACTCTCACTCCCAACACTTGTGCCCAACCTGCCTACAAGTGAGATTGTCCTGACCCTTTTTGGGGTCTGCTCCTTTGCGAGAACAGCTCACAGAACTCAAGGAAACATGTTTACTTGTTGGCTGCATGGAGAGTGGATGTTATAATGACGCAGGTGAACAGCCAGATGGAGAGATACACAGGGTGAGGTCTGGGAGGGACCCAAACGCAGGAGCATCGTAAAGCTGGGGTGTGGCAACCTGGAAGCTCTCCAAACCTAGTGCTTTGGGGATTTTTATGGAGATTTCACCACGTGGGCGTGACCTATCCATAACTCAAGCTCCAGCCCCTCTGCCCTCTCTGAAGGCTGGGAGGTGAGACTGACAATTCCCAGGTTCTAATCATGGCGTGGCCTTCTGATGCCAGCCCCATCCAGGAGACAGCCAATGTCAGATTAGACACAAGACACACCTGTAACCCAGGAACTTCCAAGGGATTTATGAACTCTGTGCCCAGAATCAGGGGCTCTAGAGACCCACAGGTATTTTTTTTTTTCCACAGAGGGCAAAGCCCTCTAGCCAGGCAACAAGAGATACACATCCACTGTGGAGAGCACTCTCCAGGCCACGCAAGGGCGGGAGCCAGCTCCCACGTGGCTCCCGGACAATGAAGTGAGGATTTCTTTTCCCAGGTTCAGTTACTGACTCTTCTTGGGAGGGCAGCCCTTGCTGCCTCCTGGGGCAAGCCTGCTGGAATTAGCTCCAGGCTTCAGGAGCCTCCTAGTCTGTGGCACACACCCCCTCCCCCCACCCCGCCCCGTCCCTACTCCCTTTTCCTCCAAATTCTCCTTTAACCCATTTACCTTTTCTAAGATTCTATTTTTCTCTCCTGTCTCCTCCTTGACTACCATCTTTCAAATCCAGGGAGGTGGCAGAGGACATGAAGGAATGCCTGGCACCAAGGGGGGCAAGCCAGAGCACCCAGGGCACCTGCTGCAGTCAACTGCTGCTGCCCAGGGGTGAAGATGCCATGTCATCAGCTCTTCCCACCTCTCTGGAGAATTTTCACCTTCTGCTTTGTATGAAACTCCCTGTTTTTAAATGTTGGCAACTCATTGCAATATTTTCACTGGTCCTACAGACTTAATAAAAAAAACTGGTTCCCCCAGCCCAACTTTCATTCAAATCTTCACAAAAAGTAAGGAAAATAATTATATTGTACTTTCCTGGGGCAGTCAAATATAGAAGGTGGAACAAAACCTTTAAATTTCCATTTTAATACTATCTTTCAGGGCCTCCCCGGTGGCGCAGCAGTTGAGCGCTGGGCTGCGAAGCTGCCTGCAGCCTCTGCAGCGCCGGTTTGATCCCCGGCTGCTCTCCGACCACCGGAGGAGGGTCCCATGTGGCACGCAGACCTCTCCTGCCGCCCGCTGCTCCCCTCAGCAGTGTACTTCGGTCCTTCTGCCTGCTCTGCTCCCCGCTCTGGCTCTGGTGAGTTCTCTCACCCTCCTGCACTCCTGACTGTGCCCAGTGCTTGTATAAATAAATGTGCTTGTATAAAAAATAAATAGGTGAATCTTTAAAAAAAAAAAAAACGATCTTTCAGAACCTGCCAAAACACCACCATCATCCCATCTTTGCTTGGTTCTGAACTTCAAATCATGTTTTATTCTAGTGAATTAAAAAATAGGACTTTTGGGACTCCCTGTTGGCACAGGGGTTAAAGTCTCAATGCTATCACACTATGACAGGCCACTGTGGCATGAGTTGGATCCCCGGCCAGGGAACTGATCTACATGGCGCAGCAGACCTATCCTGTCTCGCCCGCTGCTCCCCTCAGCAGTGTATTTCAGTGGATCTGCCTGTTCTGCACCCCACTCTGTCTTTTGTGAATTCTCTCACCCCTCGCACCTCTGGCCTACTCACCCCCAGTTCTTCTATGCATAAATAAATAATTTTTTTAAAAAATAGGACTCTCAGTATATAAAACTGGCTGTTTTAATTCAATAGAGGAAACATCACCACCAAAAAAAAGTCTACCACCTTGCAGATGTTTTCTGAGAAGTCCCTCCACTCCCCCACCCAAAGCTGTCTCTTCCAGGCTTGCTAAGTAACAAAAACCTCAACCAGTAGTTCCCCCAAATTTCCTGTTCACCTCCCTCCCAGGGCATCCTCTCCCCGGGTTTCCCAAAGCACAGATCTCCCTTTCTAGGCTGATCCTCCCTCCTGCCCTTCCTTTCTCCCTCAGCCCATCCAGCAGGTAGAGGCCTCCTGTGCTGACTCCTGCCTGGAATACGAGAAGGGGTGGCTTAGGGCTGTGAGAGTTAGTTTTCTGAGTCCTGGAATCATTCCAGGACTTTCAGGAGCTTTCTTGCTGCAAAGCTCTCTCCACAGCACATACAGACACCCCACCAACACCATTCCATCAAGGGACAGACCTCCCTTATCTTTCTGGGAATTTTCTGTCCTCCCCACCCCCAGTTCCTGGGCAGATCTCCAAGGTTTCCTGTGCCCTGTGCTATTTCTTTATGCATTTTTTTCTCCTCTCTGACTCAGGCCAGTCTTGCTATACATTCATGTCCAGGCAGCATCTGCCCTGCCCCATGCACTGGGAGGGGTTGTATAGAAAGTATAGAAAGGCCTAGAGCAGCATCAGAGGTGTTGCGGAAGCTTGCTGCTAAGGAAGCCTGTGGCAGAAGGGAAGTGGCTGTATCTGCTGCAGAGCTGTTTACCTTGCTTCTGCCTCCAAAGCGGACCTACAGCCTGCCAGCCCTGTCCGCCTGCCCACCATGATGAAGAGAGGCTTCCAGGTGGCAGCAAGACTCGGCCACCACAGAGCCCTCCTCAGAGGACCCCGCATTCCACCCAGACTTGACCCTGCCTCAGCCTTCGCATCCTCCACAGATGTCCTGGTGAGTTCCCAGCTCAGCCAAATGGGCAGCCCTCTTCCTGGGCACCTAGGACCTAGGGGCCCCCCAAATCTCCTCTTCTCAGATGCTGACTAGAGCAGTAAGTGCTGGAGCTACTTCATTTGGCAAAGGGAAAGTGCTCTTGGGAAGCCAAGCAGCCCAAATCCCAAACTAAAACACCAGGACGTTTCTGTCCTGGCCTGACTCTTGTGTAGTCACCATGGAATCCCTTCCTTCCTAAGGGACTCAGGCTGGTGAAACTGAGTTGGGGTACCCCACAGGGTGGATCCCACATGTGATCTTAGCAGGTAGCTCGCTTATTGTTCACAATTGTGACTGTGTGTGAGCATTTGATGCCATAGAATGTCATAGATCATCCTGATCCCACAGATGGTTCCACAGCTTTGTGGGCACAAAAGCATGGGCACAAGTAGTGCCCCCCCCACAGTGTGGCCAGAGTTGGAGTAGCCCCTGAGGTGAGGGGTAGTCACGATGGTCCTCACCAGCTATAGTCACACCCTGGGAAGACAACATGTCAGAATGGACTCTGGTCTGGCCATCTGCTTCCATGCTCACGAGCTGTCAACCTTACCCATATTTCCTCAGTTCCCCCACCCATAAGTGGGACTACTACTAGCAGTCTTCAGTCTCCAAGGACTGCTCCCAGGTTCCAAAAGAGGACAATTATAATGCACCGCCATGGAGCAGCATGCCTCTGACTGTCAGCCCGATTCCCTTCCTTCTCTCCTTTCATGCTTTAGCATCCCCTTCCCAGTCATGCACAAGGGTCCTCACACCCTCCGCAAGGAAGATGGACTACCTCAAGCTGAACCTGGCAGGAGGAATTGAGGAGCCCAAGAGCCCAGAGCACACCAGCTAGAGGCCCCGCAGCCTATCCCCTTAGAAGCTGTCTAGTCTCCCTGATTTTTCCTGCCTAGGTCTCAAGATTCTGTCCAGAGAAGACAGATTTTAAGGATTATGCCCTTCCCAATGCCAGCTGGGGTCCAGACATGCTGAGTATGTACCAAGAACTTCTGGAGAAGACCAAGACCGATGGCTGGATCAAACTGCCCTCCTTCAAGTCCAACAGGGACCACATCCAGGGACTCAAGCTGCCGTGGGGGTTGGACGTTAAAACAGGTAAGGCCTGGCCTGAGAGGGCCCATGGGTGAAGCACATGCACACAGGCCCTCCTGAGGGGCTATCGGTCCCTTTCCCTTCCTTCAAAGGCTCTGGGGAGGAAAGAAATGTACCAGCTCCATCCATATCTCAGCCAGTTCTTCCTGCTCTCACAGCCCTTCATGCAGTAGCCCCAGGGTGGATGAGAAGAGGCCTGTCCATTGTCCCTCCTCTCATCTAAAGAGAGCACACCCTAGCAGCAGCCTTTGCTTTCCACCCACCCTGGTGAAGCCTCACAGTTGTTTCGCCTTTACTGTCAAGCTATGTCCCAAGTCCTCCTCCCACCCCACAAAGGCTGTCAACCCCCCTTGCCCAAGCAAGCCTCAGCACACCATTCCTGCTCTGCTAGCCTGGAGCAGCATTCCTGAAACACCCAACGATCAAATTGACTGTGTTTCCACCTCATCTATCTATCTCTGTGTGTGTGTGTGTGTGTGTGTGTGTGTGTGTCCATATTTTCTCATCTCATCCATGCATGTGGTTTTCCTGCCTGGTGAGGAATGAGCAGCCTACCCCTGGGTCTCTGGCACAAAGCAAGGGCACTGACATCGCTTTTGTAAAGAAGTTGGCATCTATCCTGGAAGAACGTAGCTACTTGTTCTGGAAGAGATTTAGGACTTTAGTGAACTCTCTGGACTGATATATATGTGAATGACATGAATTCGATTTTGAATTTTCAGTATTTAAGGTCTGTTCAAGCCTTGACCTGGCCCTGATTCTCCCCACTCCCTCAGTCAGGGAACTTCTTCAGTATTTCTCCCTCCAGACCTGAGCACTCCTTGAGGACCGGCTATGTCTCTGTTCTTGGATTGAACGCCTCCTGAGGACAGGACCTGGGAGTCAGGTTCTGGGTGAGGCAAAGCTCAACACTGTGTGCTAAATGGGGTTCCATATCTGCATCAGACCCCAGCCCTTTCTCTTCCCTTCACCAGCTGCCACACTGCCCATCTCTCCTCAGACCACAAAGACTGGCGCATCTTCACCAGGTGCATCCAGATGGAAGGACAAGGCTACGAGTACGTTATCTTTTTCCACCCATCTGTGAAGAAGTCTGTCTGCCTATTCCAGCCAGGCCCCTACCTGGAAGGGGCCCCCGGGTAAGGCCACAGGCAGGACAGGGTGGGAGGGGGGTGTCCTGGGCTGGTTCCAAGCTTGGCTCAGCAGGTAGATTGGGTGTACCCCACACCCTGTGGCTGGTTCCTCTCTCTAAGGAGTTAAGCCCTGGACCTCAGACTCACAGGTCTAGGTCTGGAGGGACGTCCTGGATCATCCTGTCCAGTCCCCATTCTGCAGATAAGAGACAGTCTCCATATGGAGTTCTGGGAATTTTCTAGTAGCCAGAGACTTAAGAGGACACCTTGTAAAGGATGTGCTAAACTTGGAGGAGCGCAAGATCTGGAATTGGGAGTCAGGCATCCAGGCCTGCTCTTGGCTTTGGCACCCCAAGCAAGCAATTTAACCTCTGACCTTCACTCTCCTTACCTGAAACCTAAAGAAAAAGGTCTACCTGCCAGAGTTGCTGAGAGAGATGATATTTGGGGGTGTGATATTTGTGCACATGCTCATGAGCCATGAAGTACAATATAGCTATCAAGCACCATCTATCCTAAACCCTGTGTTCCCACGAGCTCACAAAGGCACAGGAGGCAGCACAGGCGGTCAAGGCCAGATCCAGGACTCTAATCCAGGAGTTGGGACTTTGGGTCCATTGCTCTCTCCACTGCACTCTGCTGCCTCCAAATTTGGAACTGACCCAGGAAGGAACTCACACTGCACATAAACACATCCACAAGGGAAATCAGCCTGGCCTAGGCCTCTTGTCTTAGGACACTGAGCCACAAAGTCATGGTTACCTGCCTTCTCCTCCATCCCTGTTCCTGGTTTAGATCATCACTGAAGGCTCTTAGTAGTTCTGGAGTTCCTGCGGGGGAGAGAGAGAAAGGAGGGAACTAGAGTGACTTTAGGGCCCCAAGGCCTGAGAGGGAGTCAGTTGTGGTGAAACAGAGTTCAGAGTGCTTTCTCCATGTCAGGGCCTCTGCAGGCCGTGGGTCCAGACTGCAGCCCTTGGTCAGTCGCCTTGTCCATCTCAAAGGAGTCTTCTGCAGCGACACTGAGCTCCACACTAGTGCATGCAGATGCAGGCGGATGAGACCAGAGCCCTACCCAGGCCATAAATCCCCTCCCTTCTGAAGAGGAGAACCCCAAGAGGCAGGGATGAGGATGAAATATGGCTGCCTTTTATTCATCACTGAGGGGATAACCAGCCTTGACAGCTGGGCTGTGGGACGCTGGCCCTGACTGTCTTTTATTCAGAGGCACATGGAGGCAGTACATGAGAGGCAGAGGTGGGCCATCAGCACGGAGGCCAGCAGGGGCTGAGGGGGCTTGAGGGAAGAGATGAGCACCTCTCCAGCCCCAGGGAAGTGAGGAGAGTAGGTTGCCGGATGAGAGCTCCCCTGAAGAGTCCAGGCACTTGTCAGCAGGTCCTCTGACTTGGCCAATGAGGACAAGGAGGGAGGGGCAGGTTTAGGATTATTTGACACCACCCCATTTTCCCTCCCTCCTTTAACCATCTCAGGCGTGTGAGGAGGGAAGGGACTAGAAGTTTGCATAAAGTTTTGTAAGCATCACTTCATTTATCTGATAAGAATTACTTTAATTCATAACTCAGAGTGGAAAAACTAGGGCTCAGAACAGTCTACCAAGTTGTTCACGATCAAACAGGTAGTGAGTGGTGGAGCAAGGAGTGGAGGCAAGTGGGTGGGGTTCCATGCCCCCATTTGCACCAAGGGAGAGGGAAGCTTGTGGTGCAAAGCAAGAGGGTGGCCTGCGGCACTACAGTGGGGACAGGTGCCCTGGGCCACAGATTGAAGGCCGTGCTTTGGAAGTCAGAAAATCAAATATGTCTGGTGTTACCTGCCTTCTAAACTCAGTGCCTTTCTATTTTCCCAACTTAACCAACAATGAAGTGGCTTTGCCAAGGAGGTTGGCATACACAGTGAGAAAGAATGTTACACACTTGAAATAAGGCAAATGTTTATAGAGTCTGCTGCTATGCGTGCCCTTTGTTGGCACTTGCTAGGTCAGAAGTCACGTTTCACCTTGACTGTCTTGAAAATGTGGGCTTGGCACAGGACTTAGGTGAGAGCTGGCCCAGGCCCCCTCTGAGACTAAGTCCAAAAGTTCAGGTGCCTTTCCATCCTCCATGGGCGTGCACCTTCTGGATCGTGCGACTGCTGGTTAATAGGTGATGCCAGCAGTTGGGTGTATCAAAAAATGTTCTCCCATTGACTCTAGAAGAAAAGAAATGATTTCCTGGTGAAATAAAATCATTGTATTGGCGGTTGCTAACACATACTGGAGTCAAATGGGAGAAAATCTCCATTGATTTTGACTGGCTTGATCAGATGGGAGAAGCTCTGTTTTCTTTATTGTTTAGTTGCTCTGAGGCTGAAGAGCTGTATTTGGGAAGGTAGAGGCTGGATGGGGGTCTGGGGGAGCCCACCTCAGTGCTGAGAAAAAGCCCATTGCTACGGGCCCCATCCTGGTCTTGTTCCTTGCCCCCAGGTTTGCCCACGGAGGGTCCCTGGTAGCCCTGATGGACGAGACATTTTCTAAAACTGCCTACTTGGCTGGAGAAGGGCTGTTCACAGTAAGCCTCAATGTCAGGTTCAAAAAGTAAGTATGGATCCTTAGGGCATTGGCCAAAGTCCTGGCCCTTTTCATCACTGAGGGGATTGCCAGCCTTGACAGCTGGGCTGTGGGACTCTGGCCCTGACTGTCTTTCCTTAGCAGCTGCCAAGCAGGCCTTCTGGTTCTTGGTCATTTGAGGCCAGAGCCACTTAAGTCCTTGAGGCAGGGTGGGAGGAAGAGAAGGGAGGGCTGAGCGGCAAAGGGATGAAGGCCAGGGCTTCACGTGAGCGGTAAGCAAAGACACTTCTTCTCCCAGCCTGATCCCTGTGAACTCCCTTGCTGTACTGAATGTGGAAGTGGAGAAGATTGAAGACCAAAAGATTTACATGTCCTGCATTGCCCAGAGCAGGGACCAGCAGACTGTCTATGCCAAGTGCTCAGGTAAAGAGGTCCTCAGCCTCACCCCAAGCCCTCTCCTGCCCCCACTCACCCCCGGAACAAATGGAAGGCAGCAAGAACACTAAGGGCCCAGTCCCAAGCCAGGGCCCAGTTGTTTTAGAGTGGGCTTGGGAGCTGCTGGAGTATCAGAGGAAAGGTGAGAGCAGCCAACTGGGACTTGTTCTGCGTGTGCGTGTTGCTCAACCTCTGTCAGGGCCAGAATCCAGGTAATTGGGTCCTGGGAGCAAATGCCCAGCACGCCCAGCTCCTGCCACTTGACTGGTCTTCTTGCACAGGTGTCTTCCTTCAACTGCAGCTGGAAGAGGAGTCGCCCTAGTGACTGTCTTTATGCCTTCAGGAGAGCAGACTGCTGGGACCCACCACAGTGCAGGGAGGGGTGCTCACTGACTGAGCTGTGAGGGAGTGGGCATTTTGAGTCAATAAAGTCTCACAGCCCCATACTCATCCAAGACCCTTCTGTAGTTGGAAATCAAACCCCCACATCCCTCTTCCCATTCAGCATCAAGAAAGAGATGACAAAGCACCTGCCACCACCAGGCAGGGGTGAGGCAACAAGCACCAGCGACACAGCAAAGAAAGTTGCACACTCACGGGAGGGGGGAAAGGGGGTGGGCAGAGGCAGCCAGTTCCTGTGACCCCCACAGTGCAGACACACGAGGAGGAGGTGGAGGAGGGCCTGGGTTGCTCTGGGACAGCAATCAGACAGGGCAGCTGGGCTTGGACAGCATCTCAGTAGTGAAGAGGTGGCAGCAGCAGGCAGGGAAGTGGGGAGGCTCCCGGGAGGGAGCAGGAAGAGCAGAGGCACAGAGAGGGGTAAGGCCAGTGACTCTGGAGCATGGCATGGGATGGGGACGGCTGGAGCAGGCCCTGGAGGGCTTTCTGAACCCTGCTGCGGAGCTCCAACTTTGGGAGGCAACAGGGAGCCTTTAGGGGGCTTGTGCTTGGAGTTTTGCTCTTTAGAAAGATGTCTGGTGGTTGTAAGAGGTGAGCAAGACTGAAGCTGGGGCACCTATAGGAGACCCCTGCTGGGCTCTGAGCTGGGGCTAGCAAGGGCCTGACGCAGACCAGAGACCTGCAGACAAGAGATATGGAAAATGTTAAAAAGAGAAGTACAAGACTTCAAAATTGTGTGTAGTGATGGAAGGGGGGCTGCCAAGGTTGAGCCCAAGTTTCTGACTTAGAGGGGTTGGGTGGCATCACTGGTTACAGAGGGGAGCAGGTCTGAGGTAAGTTTGAACAGGAGCTCAGTTTCACAGGTGCTGAGCTTGAAGTTCCCATGGAGCTGCTAACACATGTGAGCCCTGGCAGGAATCTAGTATTACAATTTGGAGCTCAGGATTGCTAAACTACTGATCCATCAACATAAAAACTGACCTAAAGTCTCTGGTGGTGCAGGGGTTAGACACACAGCATTATCAAGCTATAACCAGCCACTGCAACATGAATTCGAGGGACCTACCCACATGGCATAGCAGACCTCTCCTGTCTAGCCTCATGCTCCCCTCAGCAGTGTATTTCAGTAGATCTGCCTGTTCTGCTCCCCACTGTCTCTGGTGAATCCACTTACCCCACCTCTGGCCTACATCCCAGTTCTTGCATGCATAAATTAATAAAATCTTTTAAAAACACACACACACAACAGAAAACTGACCTGGAACCTGTGGAAGCAGATTATGCAGAGTGAAAGTGAGGCAGGGGCAAGGTGGGGGGGCAGCTGAGGGAGGGGAGAGACCAGAAAGACAGAAAAAGGGTTCAGAGAGAGAACCTTTCAGCACACCAAAGCCTTAAAGTTGCGCCAGAGGAGCAAGACCCTCTATAGAGGCCAGGAATGGCTGTCCTTCAGGGGCGTGGTCAGCAGTACCAAATGCTTGAAGAGAAGGCGAGGAGGATGAGAATTAAAAAGAGACCCTTGGATCTGTCAATTAGAAAATGGTGGTCTCCTCTGCCAGGAGCAAAACTCAGACGATGGTGGATGAAAAAATGAAAGAGAGCGACTAGGTGATTCTAAGAACGTTGTTATTTGAAGAAGGTTTGGGTATCTCTAGAAGTTGCTTTGGAAGGAGCAGGAGGAGGAAGACTGGAACTATAGGAGAGAGGAAGGTTGTCAGCCAACAGGACGGCTATGTGGCCTTAGACATGGGTCAAGAGCACAGTGGAGACGAGAAGCTCAGGAGAGCATCAGTGTGACTCTGAACCAAAAAGAAGGAGTTGGGTGGGTGTCGCAGAGCAGGACAGGGAAGTGAGGGGATTCACACCAGAAGGCTTTGACTTTCTAGGTGAGGCCATCAGCAGGGAAAGAGGTGTGGAGGAAGGGAAGGGAGCTGATTTGGATAAGCCAAGTGGGAATCAGGAAAACAAACTGACTTGTCCTAACTATAAGTGGGCCGAAGCACAATGAAGGCCCAGCTGCTGGTGGGAGGCAGGCACCTGGAACGGCAACTACCTGGGGTGCTGCCCCAGGTTGGTATGAGAAGACGCAGGAGCAATGGCAGGCGAGAACTGTGGTAAAGGAGGAAAGAACGACAGGCACATTTCTAAGGAGGAAAGGCAGAACATGGCCTGGAGGAGGCAAAGGGCCCCCAAGAGAAGGTTGCCTAGGAGAGGGGCAGGAGACTGAGCAGCTGCCACAGAAACAGAATTCAATCGAGGCCAGTAGATAGAAGGGGTGCTCAGGAAGAGGTGAAGGATCAAAGAACTTATATCAAAAAATGAACACTCCAAAGGACGTATATAGTTTTCACTATTAGGTGCGGTAAAATCAAAGGCTGCTGCAGACACACCTTCACATCTCTGCTGCTTAGCCCACACCTTATATAGAATGTCCTCACTCGCATAAAGTCCAGCTTTGGTGTGCAGGCATCGTTTAGAAATCTGGTTGACAGAAGCTCTGTCATCTTCAAAACAGGACTTTCAAAGTCATCGAGGGTATTGGCATCCAGGAGCCAGAGAGAAAAGACAGAATCACACGGGAGGTGTCGGTGCCAAGATACGAGTGTTTCCCTCAGCCAGAGCGCAGTCACAAGGTCCCACCACACAGGAAGGGCGGTGGGCTGGACAAGAGGATCTAGCTCTGTGTTACAGAAGAAAGGGAAATGAGTTTGGGGAAGAGCTAGCTGCCCTTGACCTGGAGAGAAGCGTGCTTGAGAGAAGGCTGGGCAGAAGGGTAGCTATTCCAAACCCTTACCCTAGGAAGTAAAGAATGAGGTCCCAAGATTGGGGCCAGGACCCAGGGCTGAGAGAGCATGAAACCTCTTGCGGCAGGGAGCAGGGTCCGAGAGCTGTGCACAGATCACACAGCGGTGGACAGTCAGCGGATCAATTCTTTTTCCAGTGCCTACACTGCACACCTCCTAAGCCATCAATCTTGAAAGCTGGGCAAATGATTGGTGAATGTGGATTTGAGCCTTGAGCCAGTGACCTCCCAAGTGTAGGGCCACACTGAAAGCCAAGGCTAGACATCCTGAGGCAGCCAACCAGCCCAACCCGCACAGGCTCCCCTAAAGTCCTTCTCCTTTTGTGTCCTCACAGTTGCCCTTTGTGCGCTACTAAAGCCAGAATCAAAATCGTTGTATATCAAAAAACGATTAGCTTTTATTCACGGTCAAGGACTTAATCTTCATTTAAACAACCCCAAGAGAAGAGAAATATATTCCCTCCATCCTATGCAATCAAGAACAGAAAGAAAAATTACTGTACTTGAGTTTTCATATTAAAATTGGTTCACTGCATCCTGGCCCTTCTCTGCCTGGAGCCAGTTTCTAAGAGAACTAGGTACTGCCTGGAAACCCACTGCTCTTAGGCCAGGCCCCACAGTCAGACCAGGCATGTCCACCTTCACTGGGCAAGGTCAGGGGGGTGGGCAGGGATCTTGGGAAGGGAAAAAGATCACCAGCTGCTGGAACACATCCCATGCGTCAAGGGCTTTGACAGATGCCTCGCCTCTCCTACGAAGCCAAGTGTTGCAGTTTTCTAGGCAGAAGCAAGGGGGCTTGCTGCCTGCACTCGTACTTTCCTACTTGCCCAGACCACTGGTCCCCTCCTGTACCTTCTACTTTAGCACCACCACCTCCCTATCACGCTCAACTAACGACCTTGCTTCCTGTTTCACTAGGAAGTTAGAAGAGAGAACCAGCTCCCCCCACCTCCACCTACTATCTCTACCCACTTAATCTCCCTTTTCTCCATAACTAGGTGAACTGCCCCCACACCTAGCAAAGAACAACCTTAGAGCTACTTCTTATACATGACACCTATTTGTTCCTGTCTGCCTAGGAATATTGTCAGTTCCTCCCTCTATTGGATCTTTCTCATCCACATATAATCATGCCATTATTTCTACCATTAAAATAAGTTCTCTCTTGGGCCTCCCCGTTGGTGCAGCGGTTGAACGCTGGGTTGCGAAGCTGCCCGCAGCCTCTGCAGCGCTGGTTCGATCCCCGGCTGCTCCCCGGCCACCGGAGGAGGGTCCCACATGGCACGCAGACCTCTCCTGCCACCCACTGCTCCCCTCAGTAGTGTACTTCGGTCCTTCTGCCTGTTCTGCTTCCCACTCTGGCTCTGGTGAATTCTCTCACCCTCCCGCGCTTCTGACTGTACCCAGTGCTTGTGTAAATAAATAAATAAATCTTTTTTAAAAATTAAAATAAAAATAAATAAATAAAATAAGCTCTCTCTTGATTCCACTTCCCCCTCTGCTCACTACCCCACTTCCACAGCAAACTCTTCAGGACAGTTGTCGGTGCTCTCTCTATCCCGTTCTCCTCCTATTCCTCTTGAGCCCATTCCGTTTAGGCTCTAGTCCCTGTCACTCCTCCAAACCTGCTCTCGTCAAAGTCACCAACAACTCTGTATTGCTAAGTGCAATGGTTCATTCCCAGTCCTCATCTACTGGACCTCACCGTTGGCTCTGGCACAGCTGGCTCCACCTCCTTTTCCCCTCCGAATGTTGGGGAGCCCTGAACTAGGTGTTTGGATCTTTCTCTTTTCTACTTTTCATCAAATCTCATGACTTTAAATTCCATCTGTTATCTCATTTATCCCTCAAGCCAACTTTGAAAGAGAGCCTTAGGTTTATTCTCTAGTTCCTAGCTGGGAAAGATGAACCTTAGACATTAAGTTACAGGCCAGAGGGCACAGCCCAGATCTACTGGATCTTTCCCATAGCCCGGACCCAGCAGAGGAGGCTGGCTTGCTGCTAGAAAACTGGCTCACGCTGGAGGAAGGAATTAAGAGGCCGGGCTGATGGCTGTAGAGACAGAGCTGTGTTTATCCAGGAACAGAGGTCAGACGTAGGCAGGAGGCCCCTGCCAGCTCCTCCCAGAAGGACTGGGCTGGGGGAGCACACTGGAGAGGAAGCTGCTCCCCTCGGGAATCTGAGCACCTCCCGGCCAGAGGCCAGAATCCAGCGGCGGCCCACAGGTGAGGGCTGCAGTGTGAGCCCCCAAAGGTGCCTACCAAGGGCAGGGTCTCCCAGGCAGGTGATTGGTGGTGCAGTACCGGCAGAGCCTCCCGGAGCCCTCTCAGGAGGTGGCGAAGAATCAATGCTGCCATTGTGCTCGGCTGCCGTTTCCTAGGAAGAAAGTACAGAGTAGGAGGGGTGGCCGGACAGTCGGGCTCCGCCTTGCAGACTCAGGATGCTGGTAGGGCTGGGAGGCGGGGAGCAGGACAGTCTGGGTTTAAGGCTGGTGGGGGGATCCTGAGCCCTCAAGTGGTGGGTCTCCTAGAATCCGCCCTGAGTGCCCGCAGGGTAACAACCAGGAATGCTGAGTCTGGTTTTGGCCCCGGGCGACACAGGGAGGCAAAGCGGGCGCTAGAAGAGGCAGGTGTGGCCACCTACAGTCAAAGGAAGGCTCCGAGGGGAGGAGCTTGCCTCTGGGACAGGGAAGGGCAGCCCTGGCAGCATGGGGGAGTACCGTGGGGCGGTACTTGGAGGAGAGGCCCAGTCTTCAAAATGAGCGTGAGAGAAGGTAGTGAGTCCACTTAGGGGCTGCAGTGGCAACTGGGGTTGGGGGTTGCATAAGAGCAGGGGATCAGAGGCCTGGATCCATTTGTGACTTCAGATGTTTGCTAGATGGGCACGTTACTCTGTTCTCTTAATAGGAGCCTAGAATTCTCCTTCGTGTAGGCTTTTTTTTTTTTTTCCAAGATTTATTTATTTATGGATACAAGAACTGGGGTACAGGCCGGAGGTGCGGGGGGTGGGGGGAGAGGGTTCACCAGAGACAAAGTGGGGAGCAGAACAGGCAGACTGACTGAAATACACGGCTGAGGGGAGCAGCAGGCAAGACAGGAGAGGTCTGCAGCACTATGTGGGTAACTCCCTGGTTGGCTGGGGATGGAACTCATGCTGCAGAGGCTGCAGATTGCTTCATAGTGCGATGCTTAACCCCTTGTGCCACCAGGGAGGCCCCGAGTAGGTTTTCTCATTGAGGTGGGTGGACATCTTTAGAAGCAAAGTGTGGGGGCGTGGAGGAGGAGTCTGTGCTGGAGTGTTGGGGGCCTGCATCTGGAAAAGTGACTGTTAACCCTGGGCTCCCTCCCTCCATTCTGCCCCAGGCCCTCATTGTTCTGCTGCATAGGGGGCCACAGGGGGTCGCAGTCGCGGTGCGAAGGAGGCTGCGGACCACCACCATGCGTTTGCAGCATCACCCACCTACGTTTCCTCTTATCTCCACCCGCAGCCCTGCCCCACCCAGGCGTCCACCAGGGTCCTGGACTCGAAACCTCTCGGCCTTGCGGAATATTGGGCTTTTGTCACCCCCGCACCACCGCATGTGGCTCTTGGAGAAAGCTGGCTACAAAGTGGGGACCCCGGATCTCGGGGCCCGCTGGGCCCCCTCCGGCCTGTTTCCTAAGCGCCGCGCCCGGGATTCGCCCGCCCGCGCCTGCCCCAACGTCCTCACCCCGGACCGCATCCCGCAGTTCTTCATCCCGCCGCGGCTCCCGGACCCCGGCGGCGCCGAGCCCCCGACGGGGCGCGCAGCGGGCGCGCGCGGCCTGCCCGCGTCCTGCTCGCTGCCGCACCTGGCGGGCCGCGAGGGCTGGGCCTTCCTCCCCGAGAGCCCGCACACGCGCCGGCGCGAGTCCCTGTTCCACGCGCCGCCCGAGCCCGCGGGGGCGCTCCTCGCGGCGCAGGGCCGGCTGCACGTCTCCACCCCGGACCTGCGCCTCTGCCGGGCCCCCGACGGCGACGCGGCCTCGTCGCCCGACTCGTCGCCCTTCGGCTCGCCGCGCCCGGGCGCCGGCCGGCCCAGGCCGCGCTCGCTGTCGCCGGAGGAGGCCGGCTCGGCCGACACCAGCCCCTGCGCGCCGCGCCGCGCGGGCCCGCGCGCCCCGCCGCTCTTCCACCTGGACTTCCTGTGCCGCCCGCTGCGGCCCGCCAAGGAGAGCGTGCTGCGCCTCGCGCCCCGCGGCCAGCTGCGCCTCAGCGCCGAGTACCAGGCCGCGCCCGGCCGGCTGCGGCTGCGCCTGGTGAGCGCCGAGGGCCTGCCCCGGCCGCGCGCGGGCCCCGGGAGCGGCGGCGGCGGCTGCTGCGTGGTGCTCCGGCTGCGGCCGCCCGTCCGGCCGCGGGGCCAGCGGAGCCGCGTGGTCAAATGCAGCGCCAACCCCATCTTCAACGAGGACTTCTTCTTTGACGGGCTCGGCCCGCCAGACCTGGCCGTCCGCAGCCTGAGGGCCAAGGTTTTGGACCGGGGCGCAGGGTTCCGCAGGGACGTGCTGCTGGGCGAGTGTGAGACGCCCCTTCTCGCCCTGCTGCCCCCCTTGGGCGGGGGGCTAGGTGCGGGGGCCTCCCTGATGCCTACCCACCTCAGCCTGTAGACAGGCTGTGTCTCTCTCAGGAGGGCTCTCCAGCGGGCCTGCAGGCCTTAGTCTTTCCATCTGCCCAGCATGTATTTATTTTTGTTAATAAAATGCCCGTGTCTGGAGGGGTGGCTTCTGTTGTTGGTTCCCTGCCTTCTCTCCGCCCTGGCCATGCAAGGTGTGGAAGAAGCTGGAGTTCAGATTGTCAGAGTTGAAGAAGACTTCAAGCAGTGGTTCTCCAATTTGAATGAGCACCAGAAAAACCAGATAGCAGAAGTCCTGGATGAGTTTGTTCAACACACAGGGTCCTGGGCTCTGTGCCCTAGAGAAGCTAGTTCAGTAGGTCTGGGCTCTATCGGTCTCTACTGCAAAACACCTTCAAGGGAGCCCTACCAATCACTGAGCCACCCCTGGAAAAGGTCTGTAACTGAAATTTTTTTAAACATTTATTTATTACACATACAAAAGCTAGGGTACAGGCCAGAGTATGGGGGGTGAGAGGATTCAGCAGCGATAGGGTGGGGAACAGAACGGGCAGATTGACCGAAGTACACTGCTGAGGGGAGCAGCAGGCAAGTCAGGAGAGGTCTGCTGTGCCATGTGGGTAGCTCCCTGACTGGCCAGGATCGTGCTGCAGAGGCTGTGGACTGCTTCATAGGTTGTGTCTTAACCCCTTGCACCACCAGGGAGGCCCTGTAACTGAAATTAATATTAGCTGCTTTCCAGCGGGGATTCCTTGGGATGCACAGGGGAACTCAGCACTCCCCTGCTAGTCCACCTCCCCACTGGCACCCACTCCTGTCCTGAAGAAAGAGGAAATGCCTGTGCCTTGGAGTGAGTCGGGGGATGTCAGCACACCAGCTTTTAGGGGTCCTCTCTCTGGTCTATCCCTCCCATACCTGTGCCACCCTTGGTGCAAAGCTAGAGCCAAGAGGCAGAGCAGCAGCACTTGTACTGAAAGTCCAAGGGATCCCATCTCAAGGAGGAGGAGGTCCTACCAGAGTGTGAGAGCTGTTCTCAGGAGTGCCAGAAGAGGTGACTGGTGACTGTGGGGAGGGAGAAGGATATAGATAAATGTAGGTCAGAAAGTGTTTACCTCCTACCTCTAGTCCCTGACGTCAGCAGTGACCTTCTTCTCTCTCGCTCCACCTTCCCTGAAGCAGGTTCTTCTAGGCTCTGGCCTGGCTTGGAGGAGGAAAGGAGGGAGTGGGGGAGGAAACGGAGGGGAAGGGAGGGAGAACAAAGAGGCCTAACCAGCTTCATTCTCCCTTCCCCGCCTTTTTTTTTAAAGATTTGTTTTTAATTTATTTATGCATACAAGAACTGGGGTACAGGCCAGAGGTGGCTGGGAGTGGTGTGAGAGGATTCATCAGAGACAGAGTAGGGAACAGAACAGGCGGATCTACTGAAATACACTGCTGAGGGTGAGACAGGAGAAGTCTGCTGCACCATGTGGGTCAGCACCCTGGCTTGGGGATCGAACTCTTGCTACAGTGGCTGGTGATAGCTTGATAGCACTGAGACTTTAAGTGCTGTGCCACCAGGGAGGCACGCCCTCTCCCTTACCCTAAAGCCTGTTCTCATTTGCCAATGCACCAGGGCCAAATCTGCTGTATCCTGAAAAAAATCTCAGCACATGCAACACTCACAGAATGAACACACACACACACACACACACACACACACAATCCTCTACCTAGATGGCTTTGCTACTCCCCTTTTCTCCCTCCCCTGATTAGGTCCCCACCCATCTATCCTAAGACCAGGGAAATCTTTCTCCAGATGTCCGCCAGGTGGTAGCATAGACCAAACAAAATAAGCGCACAGCCCTGCAAGGAACAGTTCCAACAAGTGGTCAAGCCATTTCTTCCTCCCAGCAATTCCCTGGAGGGTTAAATACTAGTGTTACCCCATGTGACCTTGAGCTTTATTCTTCAATAAAGACTACAACTAAGATTCAAATCCAGAGAGTCTGGCTCCGGAATCTAGGTTCTAAATCACTTCATTATCCTATCCTTAACTGCCTCCCAACCAGATCAACCTGAAAGAGGTCACTTCTGCCCCTGGGATGCTAGCCCCCCAATCTTTTCAGCTTGTGAACTAACCCACACCTCTTTCCCTAGGACTGTACTTCTAATTCGGCCTCAAATCCTGCCAGAACAACCCTTGGTGAGCAACGATGTGATGCAGCAAATAAAATTGATGTCACTGCTTTTGCAAATGATGGAAAGTTAGATGTCATTTAACCTTTGTTCATGCACTCCTGGAACAAATACTTAGAGCCTGCCAAGTGCCAGGCATTGGATGTAGCAGTAATCAAAACAGACATGGGATTAGATGAGTTGCAAAATAAGTGAAATGTAAAAGTAGTCATGATAATATGTTATAGAGAAAAATAAAGCAGGAAAGGGGAGTCAGATAAAGAAGGGCAGATTATAGGAATGGAAAGAGGGTTGGAGGGATGGAAACCTTTTTTAAAAAAAAAAAAAAAATGCACTTTGAACCAGGTCCTGTACTTCACCTGTATCATCCGAATTCATCATCATAGCCACTCAGGTGAGAAGACATTGCTATTCCAATTTTACAGAAGATGAGCTAGATCAAGGAGGTTAAGAAAACTCACCTGGGGATCAGCCCTGGCTGCAGGGAAGAACTGGGACACCCACCCTACCCCAGAGCTCAGAGGTGGGGATTCCAGTCCATTGCAGTTAGGAGCATTTACTCAAGCATTCACAGCTGTGAATTGTCCCCCTGTAATGGGAGCCACAGGTCCCTGGAAGAACTTCCCAATTAACTAAGCCCCGGAAATAAACTGGGTGACAAGTCAGGTCTTTAAGGACCCCTCCCATATGTGACCCTGGTCAGTCATTATTGTCCTCTTTTTACTGACGTGGTCGTTAAGAACTAATAAACAACAGGTCACTTCTTTTTTTTTTTCCTACTAGACCCTCAACCTGTTTTTGCTATTTTTTTTTCTTACACCATTGTTCACTTTCACACAGTATTTAGTTACTCCCCTCAGGTGTAGCCCCTGAAGTCCTCCCACCACCTTGCACCCATGACCCATCACCATAGTCCCTTGTGCACTTCCCTCCCCTGTTCTGACTTCTTTCCCTCCCCCTCCCCTGCTGTGTGCCTCAGATGTAGGGTCAGCCTGCAAGCTTGTCTTTTTCCTGGTCCTTTGTTCAGTTTCTCTATATTCCACATATAAGTGAAACCATCCAATATTTCTCTTTTTCCTTCTGACTTATTTTGCTTAGCATAATCCCTTCCAGCTCCATCCATGTTGCCACAAATGGCATGAGTTTGTCTTTCTTGATCGCTGAGTAGTACTCTGTTGTGCATCTATATAACAACTTTTTGAACCACTTGACTGTTCGGAGGCCTTTCGTTTGTTTCCATATGTTAGCTATTGTAAATAGTACTGCATTAAACATAGGAGTGCAGGTTCGGAATTAGTGTTTTTGTGTCCTTTGGGTAGATTCCTAGGAGTGGAATCACAGGATCATACGGTAGATCCATATTTACTTTCTGATCTTTTCACAGCTTTCCATAATGGCTGGACCAGTTTATAGAGGGTTCCTTTATCTCCACATCCGCACCAGCATTTGTTGTTTCCAGATGTTGTTTTGTTTTGTTTTGTTTTGTTTTTTAAAAAGATTTATTTAATTTATTTATGCATACAAGAACAATGGTCTAAGCCAGAGGTACAGGAGGTTAGAGGATTCACCAGAGACAGAGTGGGGAACAGAACAGGCAGACTGACTGAAATACACTGCAGAGGGGAGCAGCTGGCAAGACAGGAGAGGTCTGCTGCACCAAGTGGGTCAGCTCCCTGGCTGGGGATTGAACTCCTGCTGCAGTAGCTGCAGATAGCTTCATCGTGTTGACGCTTAACCCCTTGCACCACCAGGGAGGTCCTGTTTTGTTTTGTTTTAATATGTGGCAGACCACATTCTTATTCGAGTCTTTCGGCTCCAAAAATCAGAGCACTTGCTTTTTGACCCTCCTTACTGCCTAGAGACTCCCAAAGAATGTTAGCAGGGAGAGAAGTGGTATAGACAGTCACCAGGGCCTGGAGCTGGGGTCAGACGCCTGCCACCACAGTCCCTCCGCCCACAGAGGCCTTTGTGACAGGAAGGGGGAAGGGTAGAGGCTGTGAGAGCCACAGGCCACAGATGTCTATAGAACCAGCTTGTCCTTTATTTAATGGTTGAAGGAGGAGTGGGTACAGCCCCCTCCTTGAGTCACTCACGCGGGTCTAGGTCTCCCCAGGCCTCTAGGACCCAAAGACAAGCAGCTCCTAAGCACTGGTCAGACTCCCCAGAGGGGAGAACCCTCCCAAGATGAGGCTGCCCAGGTCCTACCTATTTTTCACCCAGGCCCTCCCTGGAAGGGCAGGCTTACATCCACCAAGCTTTAAGTGGTTTCTGTGGCTTAGGGGGTGGGGAGGAAGGGAAAGAGAAGTTGTGACTAGTCTCCAGTGCCAAGCCACCACCCTCCACCCACTCCAGGCTGCTTGCCCCCTGCTTTGAGATTCCCTGGGCTGATAAGGGAACTTGGGCACGTGGTGGGTGAAATGATTCTCTGATCCCTATCAACCTCTTCCTTGCATAAGAAAGTAAGAATGTATTTGTGGAGGAAATAACTATTGCCCTGTTTTGAGAGGACTGATTCCTCCAGAAAGAGAGCTAAGATTAGAGCAAGAGGGAGGAATGTGAGGGCCTTAGATGTGAGGGGCATTTCTTCAAAGGATGGCCAAGATACCTCTTACCCTAGGGAGAAAGAACCCCAGCCATCCCTGCTCAGGAAGGGGGTGGGGGGCGTGGGAACATGACAATGTCTAGGAGTGTGTGCCTTGCTGAGACATAGAGGCCAGGTCTCTGTCTTCCCAACCCCCAGTCACTTCTCCCTACACCACACAGTGGCACGGCTGGGAGAGGCAGCCATAGCTGCACTAGCTCAGTAGTCAGGGCTGCCTAGCAGGGGCCCAGGGCCAAGCGATGCCCAGGTACTCTGCTCTGCCTCCACACTGTGTTTGCCATTAGGAGGCCAGGAAGGGTCCTGGGAGACTCAGAACCACAGACTAAGAGGGACCTAAAGAGGCCCTGAGGTGGAGCGGGGAGAGCTGGCGAGGAAGAGAAAAAGAGAGCTGGGCTAGCAGGAAGAGGAAGCAAAGCCAAGCATGGGCAGGTGGGAAGGTAGAGCCCCCATCATTCCCCTTTACCTTGTCCCTCTGCAGAGGCCTTTGCTTCTTACTCCAAACCTGCCCAAACTGTGCGACATCCTGTTCTGTGCAGGGAAGTGTACAGAGATGCCTGGGCCACATGTGTACCAGAAGGACACAGGGATGATCACAGCCTTGGAGGCATACATACTCTCAGACTCTCAGCACAAGAAGGTCCCCAAAGCTTCCACGCCACACTTCCTTGCTCTCTAGCCCCTTGTCAGCCACCCTAGGCATTGGAAAGTCGGTCTCCAATTCTCACCTTTGTCCCTCAAACTGCAGGCGAGGGAGAGCGGGAGCTGCCCAGGAACAGAGGTGCTGATGATAGCAGAGTGTGGAGCTCTGCCAGGGCAGAAACGGAGGATGGCAAGATAGGAGGGCAGGAGAGGAAAGGACAGCTGCCTGCTCTCTCCACGCCAGGTGCCATGTGCACCAGGTGGGGGGAGTGGGCGAGTCACGCGGCAGTGGCGTGGCTGGCTCCTGCGCTGCTGTTTACCAGCCGGGAGCCAGAGCAGGAGGAGGTGCCAGGGAGCCTCCCCACTGCAGCCTGGCCCCTGGCCAGCCGGCCTGTTGGGTAACCAGGAGAGCCAGGCCCAGCTAATCAAACTCTGGGCTGAGCCTGTGCAGGAGACTGTGAGGCGTCCCCCAGAAGCCCTTCTCCAGTGGTCCTCATTCAGGGGGCTCTCCCTCCCCCACCTAGTACAGTATAGCTAGTGCCTCTTCTCTCCTTCTCCCCTCCCTGCCCACTGTTCTTCTGGCTCCACGCACTTCTCTGGGGCTGTCCTGACCCATAACAGAATTGGAGATGTGGAGGCAATAGGGAGCTCTAGAGAGATCTAGGGAGTTCTAAGGAAGGCAACAAGGAGCGGGGCAGGCACTAAGCAGGCAGAGGTTTCAGGGAGCCCAGGAATCCCCAGGATGATTAAGAACCTCATCTTGGGGCCTCCCTGGTGGCGCAGCTGTTGAGCGCTGGGTTGCAAAACTGCCAGCAGTGCCAGTTCCATCCCCGTCTGCTCCCCGGCCACCAGGTGAGGGTCCCACATGACGCACAGACCTCTCCTGCCAGCAGTGTACTTTGGTCCTTCTGCCTGCTCTGCTCCCCGCTCTGGTCTGGTGAATTCTCTCACCCTCCCGCGCTTCTGACTGTGCCCAGTGCTTGTATAAATAAATAAATAAATCTTAAAAAAAAAAAAATTATTTAAAAAAAAAAAAAAGAACCTCATCTTGATGAAGAGCAGGGTTCTCCCCCAAATGTGCACTCCCACCCCCTCCACACACACCCTGCGTTTCCCCCTCCCTCTCCTTTCCTTTCACCTGCCTTGGTCAGAAAGTGCAGAATCCACAAACGCACCACTTACTGTCCTTTTGCAAGTCTTTGGGTAAGAAGTTCATGTCTTTGATTGTCACTTGGCTTGTGGGTAAATCATGAGTGATTATGTTTGCCTCGTGGTGAATGTTGGAGGATGAAATACAATCATGGATTTACCTAAAGTGCCTGGCAAGGGGTCCAGCACAGAGTAGGTGGTCAATAATTGCTGATGGCCTTCCCCCCACCTATCTTATTCCCCTCACACCTCCAAAACCCTGTTTCTCCCTCTGTCCCCTTGTCCCCTCCTGGTGCCAGGACGCTCTGCCAGCCACTCCTTTCCCCTGCCCGCTGATGACCAGGACCTCCCTCCCTCCTCCTCCCTCCCCAGGGCCCTGCTCCCTGCCCTCCTGGGCAGCCCGGGCAGCAAGGACGGCACCAAGGGAGCTGCCCATGGACAGGGCCCCACAGAGACACCACCAAGCCTCTCGGGGTAAGAGGCCCTTGGCCCTGCAGGCAGGTGGAAGGGACTGCTAGGGGTGCAGAAGAGAGATGGCAACAGATGGGGCAAGAACAGAGGAGGGAGGGGACAACCACAGAAGGAGAGAGAGATGGGCTGGCAGGGGAATGCAGGTCGGGGAGAAAGGACAAGCCTTGACAGGCACTGAGGAGAAACAAGGGGAGGAGCTGGGGAAGTGAAGTCAGAAAGGAAATGCATCCAGGGAAAAGAAAGGGAGGAGAGAAGGAAGAAGAGACAGGTGGGGTTATGGGGCGAGAGGAGAGAGAAATCAGGGACCATGTCAAGGGAAGATCCCACTGTGCACAAGGCCTGCCGAGTTTGAGCGCCCTGGGAGGAGGTGGGGTTGCTGTTCCCCACTCTCTTGAGACATCTCAGCTGACCGGGCCCCTGGGCTCAGTAGCTGGAGGGCTGGGCACCCACCTCTGTTCATTCATCAATGCAGGAACCTGTCCTGCCCCAAGGTTGGCAGACAGGGGAGAAGCAGCCACAGCCCTCCAGGTGCCCATGCCCACTAGCCTGGCGCTTGCCTCCCCACTGGCCAAGAGGAATGGGGCTTCATTTCCACAGAGAATGTGGGGCACTCCCCTCTTGCCCAAGATAGGTAGAGAAACTGAGAGACCCTCTCAGAGCTGGTTCCCAAGGCCATAGGCTCTGTCAGCTGTCAGCCCTCAGGGGAAAATCATGAGACTGAGTTGCCAAGTCCAGGGCCACCTGGTGGAGGTAGAACTCCACTTCCCTAGGCAGGGAGGGAAGCACCGCCCAGGACTGCTTAGAAGTGCAGGACTGGAGGGTGCCAGGTCAGGGAGGAAGCTGGGTGGGGCCATGCAAGGTGGGTGGGAGGCGGGAGGGGGCGGATGGAGCCACTCCCTCTCTGGGCACTCCTCCACCCCACAGAGCCCAGGCCTCTTGGGTCCTCACCCAACCTAGCTCAATGGAGGAGGCCTGCCCATGGGGACCATCTTCTAGGAACAATCTGGGAGTAGTGGGTGGGGAGGGAGGTTCCAGAATTGAACAGCAGAAGGGAAAAAATAACAAGAGAGCAGATTCAGAGGTTGGGAAACTAGAAACCAGAGTCCTGCAGGGCTTTCTGGCACATACGACTGGCCATGTGCACTGTGTGGAGCTGCCATGTGGATAGAGGTCTGTCTGGCAGGGGAAGCCTTTCTCAGTGGCTCCCTCAGCAGGTGTTTCATAAGCGCAAACCCTATAAACCAACAACACCCCCCCACACACGCCCCACAGTGATGTTCTAAAGGAGGCTTCCCTTCTGTGGGTTTCCCCTGCACAGCCATGCATCCGGGCTCTCTTAGATCAACCTGCCTGTGCTTCCTTCTGCCTGTGCTCCCTCCTACCTGCTCTCCACTGGGACTGGCCCACCCCAGCAGCAGGAAGGGATTCCTTCCCCTGCAGGGTGGCAGGCCAGTGAGGACCCACGGAAGGCAGAGGCATAGGCACTGGCAGCTCCCACCCCTTTCTCCAAACAACCTTCGCACCCTATTCTCACCATCCACACCTCAGGAATTCACTGTGATGTCAGGCACAGATAAGCAACCAAGAGATTTAACTCCCCTGGAGAGTTACCTCTGGCTGCAGAATCTTTACTGTGTGCGTCTGATGGGCCTGGCTCTGTGGGAGGCTGTGGGGATAATACGGTGAGTGAGAAACACAGTATCTGCCTCCATAGGGCTTACTGTCTAGCAGGAAAGCCCCATTTCATGGACAATGACGCTGTGGCAGCGGTGAGGTGACGTGACGAGTGCCAGGAAATCAAATACACTTTGCTGAGCGTGCGAACATAGCACGAGGGCTGGAAAGAGAGGCTTCTCAAAAGAAAAGATACACTTGAACTTGAGGGGTGAGAAGCTGGCTTGATTAAGGATGGAGTGGGGGCATTCCTGCAGAGGAACAGCTTGAGGAAGTCCCAAAGATGGTGAGGACCTGGAAGACGGCCAATGTGGCTATGGGGCAGAGAAGGAAGGAGAGGGGTGGCTGTAGAGGGGGCCCACATTCTCCCCACAGGCCAGGCCTGCTGGGCTGGCATGGGGTGGGGCCATGAATGTTGGTTCCCCTGGTCTTCGGCTCTTGACCCCGACCCTTCTCTTTACAGAGTTGCTGGCTGCAAAGAAGACCCACACCTGTGAGTAGAGGCTCCAAGGGCAAGAGCTGGGGCTGGGTGTGAGAGATGGCAAGGCATTCTGCAGGGACTCTGGGCGGTTTGGGTAAAAGAAAGGCTAGTAGGTTGCAGAGATGGAGGAGGCTGAGCCCGAAGAGGTGGAGCCTAGAAAAACAGGGGGTGACAGGGGGTGAGATGAGGGGAGGGGTGAAGAAGCCTCAGATCGGGGCCATGGGAGGAGTTGAGGAAGAAACCCAAAAGTGAGAGGTAAGGTGGTAAGGGAACTAGGAAAGGATAATTCAAAGGCAACCATGGGAAAACGAGGGGGGAGATGCCGGACAGAGGGAGCACAGGAGATGGAAGGAGCAGGGCAGATCTCTGGACCAAAGAGGAGGGAGATGGAATGCAAGGGAGGCAAGGGTGGCCTGGGAGACTCAGGGACCCTGCATAAGGCTTTGTGGTTGTGAAGCCAGGTTTGGTGTTCATCTCTGTGGTTAACACATCCTGAGGTGTGAACAGGCCCGGGGCCAGGCAGGGCAGGGCTGAGAGCAGGAAAGCCTTCCTCTGTGTAGGAAACATAATGGACAGGGACACTGTGTCCTGGGGCAGAAAGACTGAAGCTACAGCATGTGAGAAGGGGGCTAGAGCTCAGGAAGGACTTCCCAGTGGATATTAGTGAGTAAGCATCCTCTCCAGGCACCCTCAGCAATCGGAGCTGCCCTCCTCATTTGTGGGAGAGGCTCCCCGCCACCGAAAGTATACCCACACCACCTCAGTCCCAAAGCTCATATCCCATCAGGCTCATACCCGCCCTTAATAGCCTGACGACATTCCTTAGGTCTGGATTCCTGAAGTGATGAGCAACACTCCAGCGCAGGAGAGATACCTACAATTTTCCATATCTGCTCTTGGATTGCCTGCCAGTTCCCCCAGAGAGCTCACCGCCATCCCTCCTGCTGCCAAGTTTGCCCTGTTCCAAGCATAGAAATCTCAGAGGACAACAGCATCACCCTCCTCCCTGAGTGGGCAGACAGGGGCTAGGGGGCCATCCAGGATGCTACATCCTGGTGGGGGGGGGTTGCTTTGCTCAGCACAATCCTGACAGATGCCTCGCCCACCCCTAGCCACAGGGCCCCACGGAAATGCTGAGCAGGGCCCTGGGAGGAAAGCGGGTCAGGGAGTGACGCGGGTGAGCTGGGGGCGGGGGACCCAGGGACCATATGTGGGTATGGGGAGAAGGGGGACTTTCAGAGCCGCTGAGATGCCCCACAGAGCCGATATAAGGCTGAGAGGGCCTCTGAAATTGACTGACCCTTCATAAGGATCCCCAACCAAGAAACTGCAGAGGGACTCCCACCCCAGGCAGCATCTCATCTCACAAGCAGACTCAAGTGGTATCAAGTCCCTCAAGTGGTATCTGGGATCTAGGTTTGAATCCTGACTCTACCACTCCCTGGATGTGTGACCTTGTGCAAATTACTTAACCTCTCTGCTTCTCAGTTACTTCATCTTTGAAATGGGAATAATGGCACCTACCTCATAAAGTATTTTTGTCAGGATTAGATAATCCACAAAAAAAAAAAAAATTAAGAATCAGTTCTGGCATATAGTAAAGTATTATTACTATCATCGTCATTATCATCATCTGCTTTCCAATTTCAGCAGTTTTGCTCCTGAGGACACTTCTAATGGGCTAACTCCTGGGAATTGTCCGATGATCATTACTACTACTCTTACCATTGGCCCACTAGCCCAGGGCACACATCGTGTCTTTGGGGGTGTGAGTATGGTGAGTGGCAGGCCAGCCTCCCACCCCTCGCACACTGATCTGTTGGCAGTCCACGGGGTCTCAGATGGCACCGGCTACTGTCCAGGGCAGACATCCAATGACTTACCTCTAGAAATATCCCTGTTCCTGGAGTCACCTGGCAAAGAGAGTCAGGCTCTGGGGTTCTTCAGGGGGAGGGAGAGTAGAGCTCCGTTAGGGCTCCCCAACCAGAACTGCCCTGGCGGGTGGAAACAGCTTTCACCGTGTGTGGCTGTCGCATGTGGTTTTGGAATTTTCCAACACCCCCTGTGATTGGCTGCCCCACCCCTTACATTCTGCCCCAGGCCCAGATTGGCCACTTGGGGCGCCTGTCATCCTACTGGCTGTACCCCAAGGGGGGTGGGGGTGGCAGAGTTGGGGGGTTGTCACTTGGCCACCTGTGTGGTGCGGAGCTTAACCCCCCTTCCCCTGCCCAGAAGCATTGGGGGAGAGCTAGGTGCAGAGCTACAGCCTGAGGCTTTGCTGAGAGGGCCTCACCCCCACCCCGCTGCCAGCTACATCCCATCCTTGGACCACTCCCCGCTGAGAAGACAGGGAGCCAAGGCAGCCAAGCCCAGCCCAGTCATGAGAAGTAAGTGAACGGGGCCACCTGGGAGCAGGGGAAACTGAACCCTGTCATCACCCCTGGGCCCCCGGGAAAGAAGCTGGATCTTGGGAGCAGGGTGAGCAGAGCCCTGAGCTCTTCCCTGGCTGAGTGTCGGGTCCAGATCAAGGTGTGTCGGGAGATGGTGGTGGAGTCGTTGGGATTCCTCTCCCCGGGCAGTTCTCTCAGAGTAGTGATAACTACCAGAGAGTGGAGGCACTTCTGTGATAAGCGCTGGAAAGGCTCTCCAAGAGTCTGTGATAGACCCAGTCCCCTAATTTTACAGAAAGGGACTGACACTCGGAGCAGCCACACAGCTGTGCTAGATGGAAGCAGGCAATTATAGGTGGCCCGAACGCAACCCTCCCAGCGAGGCTGTCACCTCATTGTTGCCCTCCGGTCTCCAGCCTGCCAGAGAGTGGCATGAAAAAGGAAGCCAGAGGCGTTGAAGTGAGCGAGCAAGGTCAGCAGGCAGAGGGGTCAGAACCCCAGCCTCCAGGCCCCAGAGCCGCCCTCCTTTCTGCCCAATCCAGGGATGTGAGGACAAAGTGGAATCCAGCTAGATGCAGCCAGGGCGCCATTTCTACGTGTGTGTGTGTGTGTGTGTGTGTGTTTATCCCAGGTTGAGTCACCCATTTTATGAAGGGGATCAAGGCAGTGGGGAGGAGATCAGAAGGTTTTTGGCTTCACCCCCTCCCTGGCGTGGAGCCACGGGCCAACAGCTGGTGGGCAGACGTCTGATGTGCCTGTACCTTCTCGCGGAGCAAGGGTGGGTAAACTGGATAGGCCCAGAGAACCTCCTAGAACATAGGCTGTGGCCCAAGGCCTGTAGCAGCCCTGACCCCAGCCCGCTGTCTTCTCACAAGTCACCAAAGGAAGGCCATATTGAGTCCTGGGAAGACCCATGGACTGAGAGTCTAAAGACCCGGTTCTGGTGCCACCATTGTCACTCAAGAGCTGTGTAACCTTAACCAACTCATTGGTCTCCTTGTTGCAAAACAAGAGCTGAATTTAAAAACAAAACCACCTTTGGAGAGGCTCCCTGTTCTAGGGGCCTAGGACCAAGGAGAGAGCTGGAACCTGGCTAGGCACCTGAAGGTATGAAGGAGACTCAGCTCTCCTAGACTCTAGACAAAAAGGAAGCCAAGGAAAGAAAAGTGCTCACTTCCGTGCTTGGGATGGAGAATCCAGTGCTGATGTGTGGGCCCAGCTAGGTGAGAGGGGCCAGGAGAAGAGCCAAAAGCTTCCAAAGGAAGAAAGGTTCCTTAGAACTTCAGCGTCCCTTGTATTTTCTTCTCATTAGCAGTAAAGCTTGGCACACTGGGTTTCCCAGAAATGGTCCCAAATCAGCAAATCCACCCTGAAAAGTGATGTTTGGGTGTGCTTCAGTGCCTGACAAGAGGGCTGGAGGTCCCAGTGCTGGCTAAGGGAGTCAGAGGTCCACCTAGGCTGATAGTAGGAGAGGAGGTCGCCTCCCATCTAGGGTCTGGTGCCATCAGTGCTTCTCCCTTAGATAGCTGTGGGGTCTCACAGCCTCAGGCTTTCTGACCTACCTCCACCTCTGCTCCCCGTGATTACCAACCGCCAAGCCCTCTGATCTAGGCTGGGGATTTGGAACTGTGGCACACCCAAGACCAAGAGCCAGACATACATAGAGCAAAAACAGACCAAGAAATAATGAAAGATTTGGGGGCCAAACTTTAAGGACAGGAGATTTATGAACACATATAGAGAAAGTGGTGTCCAGATGGACATGGAAATGGAGTCCAGAAGAGCCAAACACTGTAGTGTGAAGCCCCAGAGATAGAACTGAGGTGCAGAGACTGGAAAGGTGCACAGATGCAGGAACGGGGGAGGAAGAAAGAAGACTGGCAGCAGAGGGGGACATCAGAAGACATTGGCTAGGGTCTAGGAAGGCAGAGAGCAAGCAGGAGGCACAGGTTTATAGAGGTTCTAAGAGGAAGATATCAGCTCCCTACCATTGCAGCCAGCAAGTGAGAAATGTCCACTTGCTTAAAAGGCTGTCCAGCCAGGCTAAGGGAGGTAGCCCAGTCTTCTCACGCTGAGAGCATGGCCAGTGCAGAACCAGTGGGCATAAGGGAATGGCATCACATCTGATGGGGAGGTGGAAGGATGATGGGTATAAGGTGGGGTGCTGTACCCTGGTTTTCTCAAGTCTGGTGATGATAACGAGGAGCAGTGGGCTGGAAAGAAGTCCAAGTCTTCGGGGTGCCACAGATTTCATTCCACGAGTCCGAGGCTACCTAAGGTATCTACAAGGGGCTCCTTCCTTCCATGCTCCACCCCTTATCTTCCTCTTCGCATCTCTTCCCATTCCGAACAGGGATCCCAAACACCCCAACATAAGCCCTGGGAGCTGGAGCCTCCTAGTCTGTCTCATCACAACAAAATGAGCGTGTTAGTGTTGCTGGCCCTCCCCAGACCTAGCTCCCCTCTCCCCGCCTCTGTGCCCCTGACTCAAACAGGGAACCGGGACTTTCCCAAGCTAAGAGCTCTCCAAGGAAGGCAGCCCTGGGGTCTCCAGTCCTCGATGGGCCAATCTGGCCCATCTGCTCAGGGTTCTAATCTCCACTCCCCTGCTCAGGCCCCGCA